CTGGAATATTCTGGGTGGGCCGAAAAATGATACTAAAAGTAGAACTTTTCTGTCAGGGGTAAGTGAAAAACAACCAACTAAATCCGTCCCAACGAAAACGGCTATTCGGTTGACAGTTGTGCAGTCCAGGTACGTTCGGAAATGGTTCTACTAATTCATCCTCTTTGAAGTTGAATGGTATAAGTATTCCGTCTAACTCCGTCCAAAGAAAACGGCTATTCGGTTGACAGTTGTGCAGTCCAGGTACGTTCGGAAATGGTTCTACTAATTCATCCTCTTTGAAGTTGAATGGTATAAGTATTCCGTCTCAGGTAACCTTGAATCTTTGTCACCATCATCCTTCCGCATGTCGTTCTTCGCGATTGTTGATATACAGGCGCCCCTGGTAGCTGCCCCATAACCTGCGTGTCCATTGGCCTTCCAATATTCATATCCAGATGTCCCATCAAAATGTTCAGAGGTGATGTATTCAATCTCTAAGCCTCTTTCAACTGATCTGCATGATGAACTCACGTTTCGGAACCCCTGTTACCATCACAGATGACATTTCTGATTCGTCAAGGCCACGATGCCAGGATACGCTATTACCGGGATAATCCTCTACCCACAATCTCTGTCCGATGTCAAAACGTTGGCACTTTCCACTATACCTGTGTTTATTGCCCTTGTGATGGTGCTTATGATGCCACAATCGGTTGAGGCCATTCTGAATGATTCGCTGTTTGGATGTCTCCCCCTTTTGTAATCTCGTAGCAGTTGATCAATCACTAGCAAGAAGGTGTACGGGACAGGCCTCCTTGGGTGGAACACAATTTTTGTGTTTGACGTAGAAACAGTACAGCTTTCGTCCTTGAACACTTTCCGTGGATATCATTGAAGATGTACAGGTCGCCCAAGCTGATTAGTGCGTATACGTCCACTGCGTCTTGTTTACGTTCCACGTGTCGACGACGTATGTTGTGCCGACTGAGCCTTGAAGTCTGGTCCGCTTTTTGTCGTCAAACCCAAACGATATTTAGTCCTGACTTTTCCGCTCGGTGAATTATGCGTACGTTTGGAGTGACTTTTCCCGCACAGCGAGTCGTGCGTAGTCTTAAAGTCACCCAGGTCAGGTTGCCTTGTGAAGTTACCAGCGTTGCCGACCGAGCATCGGCCCTTGTACTGAGTATGTCGACGACGTGTGTTGTGCTGGCTGAGTGTCGGTTGGCCGTGTTCTGTTCTTATATGTGTTGAGTGAACAATGAAAAAAAAACAACGCAAAAATGTGTTGTGCCCCTAACGAGTACCCGTTGTTGACCAAAGTTCGGATTCACATCATGGTGTTGTTGTGACATGCAGAACAAAAAGAAGGTGCGTGGGAACTAGTGGATGTATATGCGCTAATCAGCTCGGGTGACCTCTGCAAGCACACCCGCATAAGTTTTCGAAAGATGTTATGTTCATTGTGACATTTGGGAGATACCCGAACCTACAAGGTTGCATACAGTGTTCGGGAGGATTTCCATCAGCTTCAGCTGGTTGAATCAGTCCGGGCCAATGAGGTTCAAATGGAGTACATTGCTCTAGTTGAATGTTTCAGTGAACAGAACGCTGTTCCACAGAGAGAGCAAAGGAGCTTACCAGTGAAATGTAACTTTCCACCATAAGTGTTTGCACCAATACGATTTGTGGGGCCGAAATGAATTTTACCCACTATTTTCCTGGTATCTTAGGAAATAGTTGCGATGTCGAAGGGAGTAACGATTTGCAGACGTTTCTGTGTCGTTTTGGACAACCGACACGAATTTCCTCCGACATTTCCCACGCGGATTGAAAGTGTCTGGTACTAGTTTAATTTGTGGCCTTCCATTTGAATAGCAACACTCTTCTCAGTGTCACTTCCTGTGGCACTTTCTACGCTAGTGCTTCTTGAATGGTGCCATCTACCGCATTGCGAACACGGCGTGGATGGCTTATCGAACCCCACCGATTGCTTCAGCGCACCTGGATATTGAGTAACATTCGAAAAGTTATACACATGGCATGTACATGGTTGTGTTCTATCATGGCTATTTCATGTTTGAGATTAAGCAAACATTGTCACAATGTGGTAACCGATCGTCTATTCCTTGAAGGATCCTGCTCAATTTTGCCCAGCAGTCGGGCTCGGATATCCGCATCTCTCTTCGACCGTAGCCCACAGATAAACATGACCATTTAAACTGTCCAACTGTAATTTTCTTGAATTTGAATCTTTCACACTGCGGTTGATTACGCCCGTGCACGCCATCAATGTCCTATTTGGTGTGCTTAAAAAGTTGTGCGGACGTTCAGTAAACAAGACCGCTCACAAAAAACATCTTTTAGCAGCTTTGCAGGTCCAGCGAAGGAAAAGACATGGGTATTTGGTGTGAATAAAATTACCAGCTTTGTCGCGCTCGTTTATCCCGAAATTTCGGATTAAAATTCTTTATTTCCGACCACCTTAAAAATCCGCCAATTCTGTCCGAAAAATGTCTTCGTATCTTGGGAATCACGCGAAGGTCCAATAGTATATTGCACCATAGTGAACCTCAACTACGCTGCTCGAAACAGCATCAGCAGAGGATTTATTGATTTATTTGGCCGGACTTCGAATTTCTAATCTTGGAAGGATTTCTTCCACTAACCTCAACCGATACTTCAAATTGTGCTTGATCCTGTCGCAAAACCGAACTTACTTCTCCATTTGGAGGTAGCATTGTGGAGTTCGATCTACAAGAGTTTTCGTCATACATTCTGTACGCGTTTAAGTATAGGCCTATTTGGTCTCTTCAGTGGGTAGTGACCATCATTGCCCTAGCTTCCACTATCCTCAAGGCATCCTTGCATTTTGGTGCTTTATGACTGGTTTTCCTTAGCGCGATACTGTACTCAACCGCATAATTCAACAACAATCGCATTGTCGCCCGTTTCCTGATCTTCGTTGTTCCTAATCAAACCTCAATTTGTTGCCCTAACCCAGCTTACCTAAATCCATGAAACGATCAGACACAAGTTTGATTCACCGCGCAGATTTTGATTGAATCGCCGAGTATTTCAATTGACTTGCAAACGCTTGTTGTCGTTCGTGCGGGCAATTTCAGCGCACCATTGGGTTGCAGGATCCGTCCATTCTGCTTTCAGGGATTCACGGATTGA